AGCAGGTTTTTTAATCAGGGGTTTGACTACTGCATGTTTAAAATCTTTAGGGACAACACCTGACATCAGACTATGGTTTACCAGCTCAAGAACCAAAGGACCAACTGTAGGTAACACCTCTTTTAAAAGTCAAGGAGGGACAGCATCATTTGGAGACCCTGCAGGCTTAAGATGACCAACAGTCTCCTTTAAAAAGGACAGAGTCACAGGCTCAAAGCTGTCAAAGACAGCAGAGCAGGAAACAGACTGAGAGGTCGTGAGCACGAGGAGAGATTTGAGCCCTTGTGGAGACCTTCTCAATAAAAAAGTGTAAAAGGATTTAAAGACATCATTTCATATTTTCAAAAGTATTGTCATTAGCTCGTTTGAAAATATATAGAAGAAAGATGAGGTAATATAAAGTTAAAAATATTAATGTAGTCGAGTGTGCCAAATTTCAAAGAGTACAGTGTAACACACCCCAACATATGCAGTCTGTGCATTTGTTAGTATCCTCAGACTGAAATGAGTTTTCAGAGGAATAATCTGCAGCTCTTTAATCAGGATACTTTCAGGTATTTTTAAAGCAATAAAAAGAAAAAATGCGAAACTTTGTTTTTATTTTTATTTCACAGTCGTAGAAAACAGTTTTGCATGCATTCAAAATCTGGACAATTTCCTCTGCAGAGGCAAACTGATGTCCGAGTCTGTCCTTTAAAACGGAACCATCCATTCAGGTCACAATAAATAATGCAGAGTAAAAATCGGCACATGAATTAGTTCATGCTCAGCTCTGTGGCCAGTGACAGTGTTCAGGTGCTCCCTGCACACGGGAACACGCCGGGCAACATGTTAGGTTAACGCTGCCTCCAACACTTCCTGCTCACGCTGAAGGCTGTGCTGTAAACCGTCGTCTCAGAGACACAGATGTGCGAGTAATTCTTGCATCAGCCTGGCGCCTGGTTTAGAGTGACACACGTCGGGCAGTTTGCAGGAAGCCTTCGCTCTCACACATCTCAGGACGCAAACACCGTGAATGTCGATGAAGACGAGGAGCGTGCCTGACCTGAGGCACCACTGTGGAAAGTGCTGTTTGCTGTGCAGGTCACGGTGACCCGGCCCTGATCGTCCAGTGACTGTTCTCATTCCTGGGGTGTCAAATAATCCTGATTTACTCATTAATTTAAACCTGATGGATCAGGATTCCTGCTGCGAAGGCGTTATTCTCCCCCAAACGCCAACCTTTACCTCATTTTAACCGTGCAGTTTTTATTGCTTCAACCTAACCAGCAACTGCAAGCCAGAGTAAAAACTGAGTTTCTTCAGCCTCCTCATGCAGACATC